AGCAAAATTACAAAAAAATTTACAGGTACAGTACATTGTAAGAAAGTATAAAATATATTGTAAGAAAGTATAAAAATATATTGTAAGAAAGTATAAAAATACCTTGTAAGAGGGTATAAAAATGCATTGTAAGTACAAAAAAAATACATTATATAAGAAATTTGACAAAATTTGGTATATTGAAGTAAATTTAAGGGTTATCCACAAGTACATTTTAGCATAATTTGAGGACAATTGCAAGATATAATGTAGCAAACTATGTGTATAATATGATACAAGATAGCAGCAATGATTACAATGGCAATGTTGTATGGCATTGGTACATATTTTGGGGAATTGGGTTGCACTAGATACAGTGCGAGTATTAAGCACTAGGTAGGAAACTATGAAGATGAAATTAGGTACTTTATGGTTTTATTTTTTAATAAGGAAAAAGTTTGACAGCTTTTCAGTTCGTTAGGGAGCGAGTTCCATAGACCAAGTCACTTTATTTGCATAGAGTGTTTACACAGATTAAGTTTGACTCTGGGGATATCAAAGAGATATTTATATCTGGTGTGGTGATTATGTGTTCTATTACATCTGTCCAGGAAGTGTTTCAGAACAGGGTTTACACTTTAGAAAAGGGTTTTGTAAATGTAATTGGCACAAGAAAATGTGTGAAGTGAATTTATGTTTAGCATGTTTAGGGATTTAAACAGGGGGGGGCTGTGTGTTGTCTAAAAGCAGAGTGTGTTATTATAACATTTGGATAATATAACATAACATAACATTTGGATTATTGTATTGAAGCATGGAGACCACATCTTTAGAAAGACGTAACTGCTCTGGAGAAAGTGCAGCTCCAAATTGTTCAGTATCCAAATTGGACTCCATTTGGATACTGAACAATTTGGAGGATGTTGATCTGGAAAATTTCTTCAAAAGATCAGAGGTAACACAAACAAGGAGCAACGATTTCAAGCTCAACAAGCCACAATGTAAAACTCAGAATATGAGATGTTTTTTACCCACAGGGTTATAAACCCATGGAACCACCTACTCACCGAAGCCGTAAATGCCAAAACTGTTAAATTTTTAAATCCAGCTGGAAAAGATAACGAAGACAAATTATGTCTCATTATTCAAAGCTACTTAAAGCTTCCTAGCATTATGTAAGTAATGAAGAAATATGACACACCCCCAGGCAACACTATAGATTAAATAAGTTGCTCCACAACATTGTTGCTTGGAGCATCGACTTCCTATGGCATCACCTGCCACATAGTTTCTTCTAATTTAAAAAAAAAAATCAAAATGTTTATTCAGGTAAAAGTACATACATAGAAGATGAGTTACAAACATAATGTTGGATTTATAGATAGAGCTAGTACATACAATACCTAAGGCTACTAATACGCACAGCGTTTCGGGCAAGGGTGGGGAAAAACCACTTAGACTAAAGCTTAATACTAATTGAGATTAAAGTATAAATTGAGTTGAAAAAGGGAAAAATAGAGGGGGGGGGGAGGAAACATGGCAGAAATCATCAATTATACAAGTTGGTCAACAAACAGTATTGATTGAAAATAGCAGGACATGGGTTGACATTTAGGGGGTAAGGTTGGTTACATGGAGTCTATTAGGTAGTACTTAATTTTCTCTTAAACTGGGTGTGGTGCCCATGAGTTCTGTTACAACCTTCTAGGAAGCGTTTAAGGTCAGGATTGACATTACAGTTAAGAGTTTTAAATATATAGAGTACACATGAGAGGATGTGCAGTGACTTAATATCTAACATATTCAAAGATTTGAGTAAGGGTACTGAGTGCTGTCTGGGGCCAGAGTTAGATATTGTTCTAATAGAAGCTTTGTGTTGAGTAATTAGAGGATGTAGAAAATTTTGGGAAGTAGAACCCCAAGCACAAATACCATAACTGAGATAAGGATAGATGAGAGAGCAATAGAGAATCACCAGGGCAGGGCTAGGTACATAATATCTGATCTTAGAAAGAATGCCAACAGTTTTAGAAACTTGTTTTGCTATATTTAGAATGTGTCCCTAGAAATTCAGCTTATCGATGGAACTTACCATCTACTTTGTTACTAATTTGGATATTGTTTATTCTTAGATTAATTTGATCTGAGGATTTATTACCAAACAAAATACATAAAGTTTTGTCAATGTTAAGGGTAAGTTTGTTAGTAATTAACCAAAGATGGACTTTATTAAGTTCAGTATTCACTGTGACATTTAAAGCAAGAGGGTCAGGACTAAATTTTATTTAATTATAAAATGATATTACTTCAGAGTAAAAATATGTTCATTCAGCACCAACATTATAGTGAGTAAATATATCGTATTTCAAAATTTTTTATGTAATGCTAGGAAGCTTTAAGTAATTACCTAACCTAACCCTGTCCAAGGTGTTTTTTTTGCTTTACTGGTTAACCTTAAAACTGCACAATACATACATAAAAGATTTGACAAAAAATAATTTGAGATGTTTTTAAAACTTGCACAAACACTTTCCAATTTTTTTGCATAATCAACTAGACAAATGCTCCAACATTGTTTAAATGATCACAGCGTAACTTGAAAAACCAGAGAATCAAAATTAATTTTAAAATTGAATATTGAAAACTTCAGATTTTCAATTCAGAATAAAAAATATGAACTATCATTAAGTGTTCATTTAATGTTATTATTCTCTCAGAATAGCATATTAAATTAGAATATAGGTTTTTAGTACAGTTTACTGTAAAAAAAAAAATAGGACATTTGAAATATGCCGCAAATTTAGACCAAAAAAAATTATATCTCCAATTGTATAAAGTTTATGAAAAATCCATTCTGATGGGATTGTAGAAAAGACAGCAGAGCACACAATATGTCAAAATAGTGAGAATTGGTTAATAACTGAAATTTTAGAAGCCACTCAAAGTTGAAACTCTGGTTTCAGAGATAATTGAAGTTGAAGTTATCAACAATGGAATAAAAGTAGTTTTAATTTGGTAATTTAATTGTTTGTTTTAATAAGTATTGTTTGGCATTTGTACTCAAATATGTGAAAGTTATAGGTCAATATGTGGATATTATATTTTCTTAGACTTCATTTCAACAAAAATAACCTCAAAAAAACACAAAATATAGGGATAATTATAAGAAATATAATGATTTAGGGGATATATTTAGGGTATCCTTTATATAAGTGAAACAGCCCTAGTATGGTCCCTAATCATCAAAACAACCTAAAGAAACAATAGTTTGAAATCAGAGAAAAAATCAGCCAAAAAAAATTAAGTCTCAATTTTTGCTAGTTGTGACTGACTTATTTGTTGACCAATTTCATTCTATTTTCATTAAGTTATGAAAACATATGCATTCTCCAGGATGTAAAGGTTACAACAAAATCAGATAATAAACAAAGGAGAAAAAAATAATTAAAATCTTAAAACAAAAATATTTTTGGGACATTGATTAAAGTAACATATATTAACATTGGACAATATATTTATATGATATATAACAAAATAGAGCTGTCACGGGTTGTTTCCTGGGGGTGGAGGCCTGGTCGAGGACCGGGCCGCGGGGACACTGAAAAGCCCCGAAATCATCTCAAGATAACACTGTCAACCACCAAAACCTTCTTAAATTACATCATTATGGAGTAACTCCCTGCAATACCTTAAATCTTACCCCACTGACAGGCTTAAGTATGTTTCTGTGAATAATTCTTTTTCTCCCACCCTACCCATCAACAATGGTGTTCCCCATGGCAGCATACTTGGCCCTCTCCTCTTTCTCATCTACATTAATGACCTTCCAAATGCCTCCCAACACCTCAAACCAATTCTATTTGCTGACAACACAACCTACATTTACTCCAGTCCTGACCCCCTTGCTCTAAATGTCACAGTGAAAACTGCTAAATAAAGTCCATCTTTGGCTAACTGCCAACAAACTCACCCTCAACATTGACAAAACTTTCTATATTTTGTTTGGCAATAAATCCTCTAATCAAATAAATCTCAGGATAAACAATACCCAAATTTGTAACAAAGTAGATGGCAAATTCCTTGGTGTTCTCATTGACCAGAAGCTGAATTTCCAGGGACACATTCTAAATATATCAAAAAAGTTTCAAAAACTGTTGGCAGTCTTTCTAAGATCAGATATTATGTACCCCGCCCTGCCCTGGTGACACTATTATTCTCTCATCTATCCTTATCTCAACTATGGTATTTGTGCTTGGGGTTCTACTACCCAAAATCATTTACTTCCTCTAATTACTCAACACAAAGCTGCTATTAGGACAATGTCTAGCTCTGGCCCCAGACATCACTCGGTACCCTTACTCATATCTCTGAATATGTTAGATATTAAGTCCCTGCACATCCTCTCATGTGTATTATATATATATAAAACGCTGAACTGTAATGTCAATCCTAACCTTAAAAGCTTCATTGAAGGTTGTAACAGAACCCATGAGCACCACACCAGAAACAAATACCTTTTTGATATTCCAAGAGTACGACTTAATCAAACTAGAAATACTCTACAAATCAAGGGACCCAGAATGTGGAATGACCTTCCCAACCATGTTAAAGACTGTATTTCTCTCAACCAGTTTATGATAAAAACTAAGCACTACCGAACTACCTTACCTACCTTACCCCTATAATGTCAACCCATGTCTGTTATTCTTAAACAATGCTGTTTGTCGACCAAATTGTATATTTGCTATTTTTCTACCATGTTCCACCTTTTTTACTTTTATATTTTCTCAGCACAATTTATACTTTTATCTCAATTAGTATTAATTAAGTTTTAGTCTTTAGTGTTTTTCCTGCCCGAAACGCTTTGCGTACTTTAGGCTTTAGGCATTGAATGTACTAGCTCTATCTATAAAAATATCAATATTTGTATCACACCTTGTATGTATGTACTTTACCTGAATAAACATTTGAATTTTGAAATTTGAATTTGAAAAATTGTAGGAGCCAGCACCATGTTGTATTGAGCGTGGGATTGGTGGTCATGGCGACGATGCTCAGCTGGCCGCCAGGAGGCATCATGGGAGCATCAGCTGACCCACACAACACTCCCAGCTGACACACACAACAACATGCCTTCCGTCCTCTTGACTGACTCCATATCAGTGGAGCTGGGAGGTGAGTTACACGGTGTGTGCTGCCGACACCCGTGGATGACCAGACTATACTTGTGGTGTGAGTGGAGGACCTGACTGTACCTGCAGTGGGCGTGGAGGACCTGACTACACCCGGTGTGTGGGTGGAGGACCTGACACCACCAGGTGTGTAGGTGGAGGACCTGACTACACCCGGTGTGTAGGTGGAGGACCTGACTACACCCGGTGTGTAGGTGGAGGACCTGACTACACCCGGTGTGTAGGTGGAGGACCTGACTACACCCGGTGTGTAGGTGGAGGACCTGACTACACCCGGTGTGTAGGTGGAGGACCTGACTACACCCGGTGTGTAGGTGGAGGACCTGACTACACCCGGTGTGTAGGTGGAGGACCTGACTACACCCGGTGTGTAGGTGGAGGACCTGACTACACCCGGTGTGTAGGTGGAGGACCTGACTACACCCGGTGTGTAGGTGGAGGACCTGACTACACCCGGTGTGTAGGTGGAGGACCTGACTACACCCGGTGTGTAGGTGGAGGACCTGACTACACCCGGTGTGTAGGTGGAGGACCTGACTACACCCGGTGTGTAGGTGGAGGACCTGACTACACCCGGTGTGTAGGTGGAGGACCTGACTACACCCGGTGTGTAGGTGGAGGACCTGACTACACCCGGTGTGTAGGTGGAGGTGGAGGACCTGACTACACCCGGTGTGTAGGTGGAGGACCTGACTACACCCGGTGTGTAGGTGGAGGACCTGACTACACCCGGTGTGTAGGTGGAGGACCTGACTACACCCGGTGTGTAGGTGGAGGACCTGACTACACCCGGTGTGTAGGTGGAGGACCTGACTACACCCGGTGTGTAGGTGGAGGACCTGACTACACCCGGTGTGTAGGTGGAGGACCTGACTACACCCGGTGTGTAGGTGGAGGACCTGACTACACCCGGTGTGTAGGTGGAGGACCTGACTACACCCGGTGTGTAGGTGGAGGACCTGACTACACCCGGTGTGTAGGTGGAGGACCTGACTACACCCGGTGTGTAGGTGGAGGACCTGACTACACCCGGTGTGTAGGTGGAGGACCTGACTACACCCGGTGTGTAGGTGGAGGACCTGACTACACCCGGTGTGTAGGTGGAGGACCTGACTACACCCGGTGTGTAGGTGGAGGACCTGACTACACCCGGTGTGTAGGTGGAGGACCTGACTACACCCGGTGTGTAGGTGGAGGACCTGACTACACCCGGTGTGTAGGTGGAGGACCTGACTACACCCGGTGTGTAGGTGGAGGACCTGACTACACCCGGTGTGTAGGTGGAGGACCTGACTACACCCGGTGTGTAGGTGGAGGACCTGACTACACCCGGTGTGTAGGTGGAGGACCTGACTACACCCGGTGTGTAGGTGGAGGACCTGACTACACCCGGTGTGTAGGTGGAGGACCTGACTACACCCGGTGTGTAGGTGGAGGACCTGACTACACCCGGTGTGTAGGTGGAGGACCTGACTACACCCGGTGTGTAGGTGGAGGACCTGACTACACCCGGTGTGTAGGTGGAGGACCTGACTACACCCGGTGTGTAGGTGGAGGACCTGACTACACCCGGTGTGTAGGTGGAGGACCTGACTACACCCGGTGTGTAGGTGGAGGACCTGACTACACCCGGTGTGTAGGTGGAGGACCTGACTACACCCGGTGTGTAGGTGGAGGACCTGACTACACCCGGTGTGTAGGTGGAGGACCTGACTACACCCGGTGTGTAGGTGGAGGACCTGACTACACCCGGTGTGTAGGTGGAGGACCTGACTACACCCGGTGTGTAGGTGGAGGACCTGACTACACCCGGTGTGTAGGTGGAGGACCTGACTACACCCGGTGTGTAGGTGGAGGACCTGACTACACCCGGTGTGTAGGTGGAGGACCTGACTACACCCGGTGTGTAGGTGGAGGACCTGACTACACCCGGTGTGTAGGTGGAGGACCTGACTACACCCGGTGTGTAGGTGGAGGACCTGACTACACCCGGTGTGTAGGTGGAGGACCTGACTACACCCGGTGTGTAGGTGGAGGACCTGACTACACCCGGTGTGTAGGTGGAGGACCTGACTACACCCGGTGTGTAGGTGGAGGACCTGACTACACCCGGTGTGTAGGTGGAGGACCTGACTACACCCGGTGTGTAGGTGGAGGACCTGACTACACCCGGTGTGTAGGTGGAGGACCTGACTACACCCGGTGTGTAGGTGGAGGACCTGACTACACCCGGTGTGTAGGTGGAGGACCTGACTACACCCGGTGTGTAGGTGGAGGACCTGACTACACCCGGTGTGTAGGTGGAGGACCTGACTACACCCGGTGTGTAGGTGGAGGACCTGACTACACCCGGTGTGTAGGTGGAGGACCTGACTACACCCGGTGTGTAGGTGGAGGACCTGACTACACCCGGTGTGTAGGTGGAGGACCTGACTACACCCGGTGTGTAGGTGGAGGACCTGACTACACCCGACCTGACTACCCGGTGTGTAGGTGGAGGACCTGACTACACCCGGTGTGTAGGTGGAGGACCTGACTACACCCGGTGTGTAGGTGGAGGACCTGACTACACCCGGTGTGTAGGTGGAGGACCTGACCCGGTGTGTAGGTGGAGGACCTGACTACACCCGGTGTGTAGGTGGAGGACCTGACTACACCCGGTGTGTAGGTGGAGGACCTGACTACACCCGGTGTGTAGGTGGAGGACCTGACTACACCCGGTGTGTAGGTGGAGGACCTGACTACACCCGGTGTGTAGGTGGAGGACCTGACTACACCCGGTGTGTAGGTGGAGGACCTGACTACACCCGGTGTGTAGGTGGAGGACCTGACTACACCCGGTGTGTAGGTGGAGGACCTGACTACACCCGGTGTGTAGGTGGAGGACCTGACTACACCCGGTGTGTAGGTGGAGGACCTGACTACACCCGGTGTGTAGGTGGAGGACCTGACTACACCCGGTGTGTAGGTGGAGGACCTGACTACACCCGGTGTGTAGGTGGAGGACCTGACTACACCCGGTGTGTAGGTGGAGGACCTGACTACACCCGGTGTGTAGGTGGAGGACCTGACTACACCCGGTGTGTAGGTGGAGGACCTGACTACACCCGGTGTGTAGGTGGAGGACCTGACTACACCTGGGTTGTGGGTGGAGAACCTGATTACACCCGGTGTGTAGGTGGAGGACCTGACTATACCTAGGTTGTGGATAGAGGACCTGACTATACCTGGGTGGAGGACCTGACTATACCTGAGGTTGAGTGAGGGACTTTTTTGTTTTTAAGAATATTTTAAGTACAGTACTAGTAATGTGAGATATGCCTAGCATACATCTCATGACTGTTCTGCAACATATTGAAATCTGACTCGATTGTCAGTTGGGTTAACTCATGTATAGAATTCCAAAAATGTGCATCTATGTTGGAACAGACGAGCACCCAAACTTATAGCAACCTGTCCTCAGGCCAAGTATTAACCTAGTTGTACTCACTTTGTTGTGTTTGAGGAGGTTGAGTTTTAGCTCTTTGGTCCCGCATCTCGACTGTCAATCTACTGTTGTACAGGTTCCTGAGCCTATTGAGCTCTATCATATCTATATTTGAAACTGTATGGAATCAGCCTCCACCACATCACTTCCTAAAGCATTCCATTTATTAATTACAGTACTCTGACACTGAAAAAAGTTTGCTCTAATGGCTTTGTATAATAATAATACAGGTAATACAGTAATACTTTGGTAAAAGAACATACGTACATTCAAAATGAGTTACAAGCACAATATTGGGTTTCTAGATAAAGCTAGTATATACTGTGCCTAAAGCCACTTCTGGATCATGTGAATACTCGGTTTCCACCTGTGTTCCCTTGTGTGAGTACCACCTGTGGTATATAATCTGTCCTTATCTACCCTGCCAATTCCCCTGCGAATTTTGTATATGGTGATCATGTCTCCCGGAACCCGTGTCTTCCAGCAATGTGAGGTGCAATTTACGCAAACTTTCCTTGTAACTCATATCTCTAAGTTCTGGGACTATTATAGTCGCGTACCCTTGAATCTTCTCCAGCTTACGTTTCGTTATCAGCTGCTTGTGTTTAAATTTTTTTTATATGTAATCTAATTATAGTCAATTTCATAGTCATAAACCATATTCTTATATGTAACACTAAACATAGAAAAGAACTACTGTACTGCATTTTACTTGGATGCAAATCATCAAATTAAATTCAGCTTTAGATAGACAATGTTAACATCGGCAATAAAAATGTTGGAAAGTTCCTTGGTCTGTACATAGACAAGAAACTCTGCTTCAGCACCCACATACAACATGTAACCAAAAAAAGTCTCAAAAACAGTTGGTATAATTCTAAAAATCATATATTATGTTCCAAGCTCTGGTCTCCTCTCATTATACTTTGCGCTAAGCTATCCCTATCTTACATACGGTACCTGTGCATGGGGTTCAACCACTGCAAACTGCCTCAAACCCATCATCACCCAGCAAAAATCTGCTATCAGAACAATAACAACTCTATTTTCAGACAACACAGCCCCTCTGTTTAACCCTTTAACTGCGCAACGCGCCTGCAGGCCCACGTCTGGGGTGCACTACGCGCCTCCAGGTGCGTAGCATGAGCTCACAGCGCTGCTGTTCAGTTTGTGACAACAGCATCGCCTAATAATGTCAAAATATATACTGTATATATAACATGTATTATTTAGCCATGATAGTATTACAGAAGATCCAGAGTGTGATAATGACTATGTACAATGTTCAAATATTAGTGATTCAATGCTGTTCACGATGTTCACAGCACTAGCCATATCACCACAGCATTATTTCGTCCATTAGGAATCTTCAAATGACTTCTTCTTTCTTCTTTCAAATGAGTCCTTTACAAAATAAACTTGTGGTCAATTATGTATTTACAGGATTTAGTGACCAGTATTATGATAACAACAGGATTGTGGTTATAATAAGCACTGTGTGTAGTATTGTGGGAGGAGTAATTGTGGTTAGGGAGCGAGGGAGAGAATCGAGGTAGCCTCGGAGCTGGTCGGCCGAGCGGACAGCACACTGGACTTGTGATCCTGTGGTCCCGGGTTCGATCCCGGGCGCCAGCGAGAAACGATGGGCAGAGTTTCTTTCACCCTATGCTCCTGTTACCTAGCAGTAAATAGGTACCTGGGTGTTAGTCGGCTGTCACGGGCTGCTTCCTGGGGGTGGAGGCCTGGTCAAGGACCGGGTCGCGGGGACACTAAAAACAAAAAGCCCCGAAATCAACTCAAGATAACCTCACTGTGTGGTAGCCACTCTTGTTTTGCTCATCATATTAGCTTAGTTGTTCGCTATGGTGAACACATTTGTACATGGGTATATACAATGTGTGTATATAGTGTAGTAACAGCAACAGGAGTATGTTGGGAGGAGCTATTTTGGTGAGGGAGGTGACGTAATCGTAGTGTTGTCTGCTGGCTGCTGTGTGATTTCTCATGCAGTGTATGGTGGCCACTGCAAAGTTTGGACACAGTACCGGCTTACTTGCATAGTTCTGTTGTATAAAACATGTAGATAGGTATACATAACATGTGTAATACAAATAACAACAGTATGGTGGGATGAGCAATGTTGGCGAGTAAGATGTTGGAGGAGTGAGGGAGAGGCTGGATGTTGGAGGAGTGAGGGTGTGGCAGCTGACACTCGCGGAGTTCTGAGTGTGTTCATGGTGAATGTATATAGTGTGTGATAGTGTATAGTGCGTAAATAGACTATGTATACATAAATTAGCATAATACAATGGAAATATGTGCCGGATATGTGTACACATGTGTCATGCACGTAACACAATGTCTTCGGACAGTACGGATGTTCCACTGCCATAATATAGTGTACGTGTTTATTATACATATGATTGGCACATAAAAGCATATTAAATGCTTTTTTTATTAAACGCAGAAAATTAAAAATATATTCGCGGCAACTCGCACATCCTGCCCCGAGCACCCTACCGGCCCCGGGGCGTATGCCACGGGCGACCAGGAAAAGATGACGTCATGCACGAACTGACTCCATAGCAGCTAAAGTACTTACAATTTCGACCTTCTGTTACTATACCCTTACTCAGGGAAGGGTTTTTGACACTTTATATACAGAAAATAATTTTTTTCAGAGATTTTATTTCCTGCGCACTGGGGGGGGGGGGTCATATTTGGAGGCCGTGCAGTTAAGGGGTTAAATCCCTAAACATGCTAAACATAAACTCACTCCACACACGCATTCTCTTGTGCCATTTACATATACAAAACCTTGTTCCTAAATGCAAATCCTGATCTGAAACTTATCCTTGACAGATATAATAGAATCCATAATCATCACTCCAGAAATAAATATATCTTTGATATCCCGAGTTTCAAACTAAATCTGTGTAAAAACACTATGCAAATAAAGTGACCTAGTCTATGGGACTCGCTCCCTAATGGATTAAAAATCTGTCCAACCTATGCCTTTTTTCAAAAGTAAAACCAAAAAGTACCTAGTGCTTCAAACTCACACTGTATCTTGTACTACCCACTCCCCCCAATATATGTGCCTAAGCCATGCAACTTCACCATTGTAATCACTCCTATCAACTTATATCATGGGTTATGTTGAACGTGAATTTTACTTCAATGTACAATACCTATTAATAATCCTCAAATTTAACTACAATGTACCTATTAATTTTCTTCACATTTTCTTACAATTTACCTGTAAATATTCTTCAAATTTTGTTACAAATTACCTACTAAAAATTGTTAGATTAAGGACCTGCCCAAAATGCTGTGTGTTAGTGGCTTTGCAATAATGTGAAAACATCAATGCTATGTACACTCATAAACCCATTGTACCTTCTTTTATATAAATAAATGAATAAAAAAGTTAGTTTATTTATTTATTTATTAAAATTCTATGTATAGTCAAGTATAGGTTAGGTTAGGTGTTTAGGTTCTATTGGTGATCATTTGTGTTTAAAGTACAGTGGTACCTTGTGTATGACTGCCCTAGAGAGTGAATTTTTTGGCATACGACATCAAATTCATCGTAAAAATTGAATTGGTGTATGACATTTTTCTTGGAATACGATGTCTGTTGGGACGTGTTTGGATCAAACGAGCGCATGGTGCTGGGGTGTTGGGCAGTTGTTTACTATTGTATCCCGCCTACCTGCCCAGTAATGACCGTGCTTTAATTCTCTGTAAAGAATTTTTTTTTTTTCCTCTTCTGAACAGAAAAGTTCTTATTATATATCACGCCATGGATCCCAAGAAAGTTGGTGGTAAAGTTCAACCTAAGAAAATAGTCAAGGATGATGATAGAGGAAAAACAATAAATCGCTCGTAAACATGAAAATGATATGCAGGTTGTTGATCTCCCTTCCTCATTAATTAAGAAGATGTGTGCAGTATGGGAAGAACTGCAAAGTTTTGCTGAAAAGTGTCACAGATAAAGCTGTAACAGGCCATTTTCATTAACCTTTTTATGATAATGTGGTGTCTTACTAAAGACAAGACGCATGCGGCGCGTGAGCGCCGCAGACTTTGATGTCATGGGGGCGGACGGTGTGGGCGAGCGTGTGGCGACGCCTAAATGGTATACTAGTTTCAGTTTTCTCACTTTAATTCTTGTGCTACGTTGTTTGTTTTGGTATCATTGTGTTCGCAATTAAATTCCCTGCAGGTGTATATGCATATAATGTCCAAAAGCCTGGCAAGACTCCCCGCAGCTAAGCCTAAAGTTACCCGTGAACGAGCACCAATTTGCACACCACAACCTAATGTGTGTACTCGTTCAGTTTGATAACATAAATTTTCGTGTTACATCTTTCATGGTGGTATCAAATTGTTCGTAATAAAAAGGCGCGTATTATAAATCTAGTCCCATAATAATAGAGCAATAACTGGAATTTTAACAAATATTTTAATTCTGGAAGCTCATCATCACAAAATTATTTATATCTTTCCAGTGTTCTGACATAAATTTTTGTGTTATATCTTTCATTTTGGTATCAAATTGTTCGTAACGTAAAGGCGCACATTTTAAAACTAGTCCCAACATAATCGCACAATAAATAGAATTTTAACAAATATTTTAAAATTTTGATCAAAAACGTATTTATAATCTTTCAAGTGTTTAGACATCAAGTTTCATGTTACATCTTTCATTTTGTCAAATTGTGCGCATTCTAAAGGCGCTTATTTTGAAACTATCCCGAGGTCGATCGGATAAAAAATGAATTTTATACAAATGTTTTTGGAGTGGACGCAAGTCCTGTCCTCAGCTAAGACTCGAGAGGAAAAGTGGAAGTGATCGGTGTCCAAAGTGAGCGATAGTGTTAACAAGTTAATATTTTTGTGGAATATTTGTGGAATGGATTAATTAAATTTACACAGTTTCTTATGGGAAAATTTATTTTGGTTTATGAATTTTTGGTGTTCGACTTGTCACTGGGAAAGGATTAGGATCATGAACGAAAGTACAGTACCACTGTATGTGGATGAAGCATTTATGGCATTGTGTGGAATGATTTTTATCCCAGCAAAAAATTAATAAATTTTTATAGTGGCATCTCGGATTACGAGCGTCCCTGTTTACGAGTTTTTCAGATTACGAGCAGGATTTGCTCGGAAAATTTACATCGGAATACGAGGGTGTTGATACGTGTACTGGTCGACCTAGCGCGTGGTGGCACGGCTCGCCCCTCAGTTTACCAGAGCCATGCGCCCAGTGACTATCCTACCTGAATTCTTCACAAGGATTTACAGTTTTTTGTCAAATTTTTGGCCATTTGAGCATAAAAGTTATTATATACAGTATCTCGCCATGGGTCCCAAGAAAGCCAGTGGTAAAGTTCAACCTCTAAGAAAATAGTGGAGTAGAGGATGTCCCTTCCTCATTAAGAAAATGTGTGAAGTATGGGAAGAACTGCAAAGTTTTGTTGAAAAAACTCACCCAGATAAAGCTGTAGCAGGCCGTTGCATTGACCTTTTAAATGACAATGTGATGTCTTACTACAGACAAGTGTTGCAAAGAAGGGAAAAGCAATCTTCAATGGCTCGTTTCGTTGTGAGAAAATCGAGCAGTGAGCCACAACCAGGACCTAGTGGTAGGCAGACAAAATGTGCCAAAGAGTACACTCCAGAAATATCTTTACTGCCTGAAGTTATAATGGAAGGGGACTTGCCTTCAAAACAGTAACACCTCTCCTCCTCCCCCTCCCCTTCCTCACCATCTTCCATACGCCAATAGGAGTCATCAGCAAGGGTAAGTAATAACTTGAACATACTTTTGTAGTGTAGATTTAGATGAATTAGGTATAAAATTTAGTTTGAAGTGAGGTTTTTGGGTAGTCAGGAATGGATTAATTCATTTCCCATTATTTCTTATGGGAAAATTTACTTCGGTTTACGAGTTTTCGGATTACGAGCCGTCTCCAGGAACGGATTAAACTCTTAAACTGAGGTACCCCTGTATTTTTATTAACTTATAAAATTTAAAAAAAAAATTCTTTGGGTGTTTGTTCCAACATGGTTTCACATTTTTTAATCCTATACATGGGTTAACCCAACTGATAGTTGAGTCAGATTACAACATGTTACGGAATAACTGGACGAGATTGAAACCATCCGATTTTTGTTCCAATTAACTGCTGTACTGTGAAGTCTTTTTTTTAACCACTAATTAACTAATAATAATTTAAAATCAATTTGTGAAAGCTTATCATCCAATAACTACTTTTTTATAATTAATTTCCTATTCCTTACTAGACTCTCACTCTGAGCTTAGCTAATGATGCATTTAATTCAATAAATATGATAATTTTAAATGTCTTTTTTTTTTTTTTTTTTTTTTTTTTAACATTTTGTTTCACCTTTACTCTTTTTGTATAACGCTTATACATTTTATCAATGTAGCACAAGAACCCTGGCCAACAGATGTGAAACTGTTCCAGCAGTATGAAGTTGAACAAATTCTATTACCAGACAATGCTAACTGCTTAGCAGTACAGGCATTTCTTAAGATGTGCCATCTTAACTTTTCCCTGGAGATGAGAGGCAATGCTGAGCATATGTCACCCAGTGGTGAGTATACATTATGTGTCTTCAACTCCTTTGCCTACTAACTTAGTACTGTATTTTGCATTATGTATTTAATATTATAGCAGGATCATTGTTTATAAAGTTTCCTATGACTGTACTGTATATGAACCTGGTAATGCTATAAAGTACAATTCTGTATTGTATATTCAACAAGGGGTGATGCCGATGTTCCATAATGGGATGTTGATAAATAAGAATGAGAATATCTGATGCAAGCAAGGCTTATGGTATTGACATAGAGATCAGCTGTTTAGTGGGGTCTGTCCAGTACCGCAGTTCATCCAAAGATATGATGACCAAACCACGTCAGAAAATGAAGAAACAATGATGTTTCGGTCCATCCGACAGGTGGTGATAATATTGGCGATTGGATGGCCTGAGAGTCGGCAGCACGCCTGACGCTCAACTACTAATGGATACGCTCACTGAATCATCCTCATCCGTGCTGTATCACTTGCATCTTCATGTTAATATTTCTAGGAAAGATAGTTGCATTGCAGCAGCCTTTAGAATATACAAAGACAACAGATCTACAAAGTGATGCACTATAATGAGGAATATTACAACAGAAGAGGACTGCAGAATTTTACAGGAAGACTGACAAATTCCAGGAATGGGCAAACAAATGGTTGCTGGAGTTGAATATAAAAAAAGTGTAATGTAATGGAGATGGGAGAAAGAAGACTGAAAAGTGTCTACAACATAAATGAAAGGCAACTACAGGAATTGGAAAGAGAAAAAGATTTGGAGGTGCATGTAATTCCAATGCTAATGATGTAATTCCTCGACTTCACCTCAACCAGAAGGTTGGCATAGTGACTTGCTTCACTTGTTTGACCTCCTCAGCTCTTCACTTTTGGTCTTTTTGACATGTCTTTATTGCCATCTTTACAGCAAGCAGGTGGCTTCGTTGATGGTGTCCCACCTGCATTCCTCTTCTCGGCAACAGTATGAAGTTTCGTAGTACAGTACAGTACTCCTATTGCCACTTCTCTTCACTTCATCATTGTTCCTTTGTTTCCGTGGAACAATGATGCATGTGGTGCCCTCCTTTCTTTTCTTTTTTTTTTTAATTTTTTCTATTGGCATCTCGTGCTGAATGCTCTTGCCTCGTATCATTCGGTGCTGGTGGAGCCGCTGCAGCTTGTGTTCAGTGTAAATACAGGTACTACCTCGGCTTCATCTCGCATGTTGTCTCATACCTTGCTTTACCTCCAGCCAGCTCATGCACTGCCTGAGTCTGCTTCGTCTTTGGGCCATGTTCTTGCTTTTCTTTCTTCCTCCTCATTTTACTGCCCCCTCCCCTTCAGTTGTGATTCTTTCTCTTGCATTGTTGTTTATTTTCTCTTTGGTTTTCATGTTGGGGAGCTTCATTCTCTTCTCTGGAAGTGGGGTTTTTGTTCTTTCAGCATTGGTGGCATTTTGCTTGTTTGCAGTTGGCTCCTTTTTTGGCAAACAACGAGTCAGCTGACTTCTTGAAGGGGCCCTTTGACCATTGCTACTCAGTTGGTTTAGCTGGGGTGCATCATGTGTTTTGTCCGGTGGTGGCTGTCCTCCACTACCTTTGTGGCACAAATTATGCTTTGGTGGATGCCTTGCTTGTCGATCCTGTTTCCTTGATCCCCTGCTCCAAGTCTCATATTTCCCAGGTCAATCACAGTGTTACTAAATCTAGCCAGCCAGTCTACCCTTGTGCCCATGACTTTAGGAAGTACAGGGTATGCTGCTCTTTTCAGCTGTGTTTGTGAACATGTCCTGGGCTGATAATTGGGTACAGGAGTTTTGGAGGTCAAACAGGTTATGGTGGACTGGTAATTGATGAATGTTCCTGAGGGTCAGCACCCATATGTGGCCTTGGGCTATGTCTCTTAGCCCGGGGTCTCATTATCATCATGAATTCTGCGGCGCTGTCTCGTTCCTGGTGAGTTCCCATGTGATTTTCCTTCTTCCTTCAGAGTCACAAGTGGCTCTTCCCAGAAACAAGCATTGAATGTAATGAAATGCCAATTTCTGGGTGAGCACCAGCAGTTCCCTGATCGCCTCCCTCCTCTCAAGGTCATTGGGGGGGATGTTTACATCTCATCTAGAACTGGGAGCTTAGAACCTGGCAGGCAGTGAGCTTACCTACCCTACATCCAAATGAGTTGGGGAGGGGAGGCAAACGATTTCATGCAAGATCCGGAAGAATTTGATTGTTTGTTTACTTAGTTGGGGGAAATCTTTAGGCAGGTTTCGAGGCTTTGGTGTCTTTTGTATCCAGCAGTAGTTTCTTTTGACTTCCTGACTTTCTGGTGGTCTTCCCTAGTGAGATTGAGAATACAAATATCACTGCTCACAGCGCCTCTGTGAGGGAGCCGGGTTCTGGCTCTGATCCCAGGTAGGCCTGTAGAACACTATGGCAGATGTGACCTATTAGATGGTAACCATCTCGGCATATAGCTTCAGGAAACCACCGGGGGTCACCCCAGAAATTGGCATTTCATTACATAAATTTGTTAAATTGTGATTTGAAAGTATTCCCCTTAGTCGATTATTCCCTTCTTTGGATTTGTCTGTCATCTATATCTATCTATTTATATTAATTAATATCTCCTTTTTCTGTGGTACCAGTCATCCCCCATCTTCAGCTAATTTTACAGTTACCAAACTAATAAAATTGAAGTTATACTTGTTTAATGAATATATGAATGCTTATACCCATGGATGTCCACTACCAGTATGTGTAACTAAGTAGTCCAAGTAGTTAGTAAATATAGTGAAGTGTTCCACACATGTTGCCTGCCAGAGAAGTGAGAAAGTGTGGTGTGGAATGGATGTACAGTACTGAACTTGTCAACAGGTTTCCACACAAGTACACAGCTACCAGCAGGGTGTCCAGAGGTTATCTAGAGATGATTTCGGGGCTTAGCGTCCCCGCAGCTCGGTCCTCGACAAGGCCTCCTTTTTGTTACACATCCCCAGGAAGCAGCCCCAGTGTCAACATAGACCATATATGAAAGTCTGGGTGTTACAACACCACCACTACAATACCAACAGTTGAATTGTATTAGACTCCTTAATTCAAGTAACCTTAATGCCTTATGGTTCGGTTGTAACGAGCTTGACTCTGAAGCTAGATATATAAAACGATATTTTTAACAATTTTATCTATCCATTTTATGTGGATTTAGCTCATGTTTGCCTCCAAGTGCAAGACAGAAGTGTTGAGCAGCAGATCCCATTTGTTTTGTAATTGAGTACCTTGGATAAAGCACTGATTACCTTTTGCATAAAGACTGTTTGAGTGAGAAAATTATGGATGTTTCCTGGCTATTGCAGGCAAGGTGCCATTCATCAAAGCTGGAGCATTTGTGGTGGCTGAACTGGATCCCATTGTTGCTTTCGTCGCAAACAAGGTGAGCAGTGATGGCAGGTGACCACACAGTGGTGAGAATGGTGGTGTTAGAAAGATGAGAAGGGGTAACAGGAAGGTGTCAAGGGGGGGGGGGGGTAACGGGCATGTGTTGAGGTGGGGTAACGGGCAGGTGTTGAGGTGGGGTAACGGGCAGGTGTTGAGGTGGGGTAACGGGCAGGTGTTGAGGTGGGGTAACGGGCAGGTGTTGAGGTGGGGTAAACGGGCAGGTGTTGAGGTGGGGTAAACGGGCAGGTGTTGAGGTGGGGTAACGGGCAGGTGTTGAGGTGGGGTAACGGGCAGGTGTTGAGGTGGGGTAACGGGCAGGTGTTGAGGTGGGGTAACGGGCAGGTGTTGAGGTGGGGTAACGGGCAGGTGTTGAGGTGGGGTAACGGGCAGGTGTTGAGGTGGGGTAACGGGCAGGTGTTGAGGTGGGGTAACGGGCAGGTGTTGAGGGGGGGTAACGGGCAGGTGTTGAGGGGGGGGGTAACGGGCAGGTGTTGAGGGGGGGGGGGGTAACGGGCAGGTGTTGAGGGGGGGTAACGGGCAGGTGTTGAGGGGGGGTTAACAGGAAGGTGTTGAAGGGGGGGTTAACAGGAAGGTGTTGAAGGGGGGGTAACAGGAAAGTGTTGAAGGGAGGGGTAACAGGAAAGTGTTGGGAGGAGGAGTAACAGGAAAGTGTTGGGGGGAGGGGTAACAGGAAGGCGTTGGGGGGAGGAGTAACAGGAAAGTGTTGAGGCGGGGGGGGGGGTGTAACAGGAAAGTGTTGAGGGAGGGGTGTAACAGGAAAGTGTTGAGGCAGGGGGGGGGTGTAACAGGAAAGTGTTGAGGGGGGGGTGTAACAGGAAAGTGTTGAGGCAGGGGGGGGGGTGTAACAGGAAAGTGTTGAGGGGGGGTGTAACAGGAAAGTGTTGAGGGGGGTGTAACAGGAAAGTGTTGAGGGGGGTGTAACAGGAAAGTGTTGAGGGGGAGGGTACCAGGAAAGTGTTGAGGGGGGGTAACATGAATGTGTTGAGGGGAGGGGTAACAGGAATGTGTTGAGGGGAGGGGTAACAGGAAGGTGTAAGGAGGGGAGCAGGTGGTATGGAGGGTGGAAAAGAAATAAGGGGGGTAGGAACATGAGGGTGAGGGGAAAGGAACAGGAAAGTGAATGGAGGAGTAACAGGAAAGTGAATGGAGGAGTAACAGGAAGTGAAAGGGGAAGGAACAGAAATGTGAGGGAGGGAAAGGAACATGGGGGTGGGGGGAAGGAACATGGGGGTGGGGGGAAGGAACAGGAAGGTGATAAGGAAAGAAACACAACGGTGGGGGGGAGGAACAGGAAGGTGAGGGTGCAGGAACTGAAAAGTGAAAGGGGGAGCAACAGAAAGGTGAAGGGGGAAGGGAGAAAAGGAGGAATAGGAAAGTGAGTGATATATGTGAGGGGCAAGTGTTAGTGCTAAATCATTCCTAAATGTTTGTTCTAAGCCACATTCCATTTGACTCTTAAATGCTCATGTGTGTGCGTGCATCTGCCACAATTCATCATTGGGCGCCTTGCCTCATCTATCTATAGTGTTCATGGTATTTTTCACTCATACTATATAATTATTGTTTTCATGCTAAACAAGAGAAACATACAATTGCATTTAAAGTGTGTAGACTAATGATTTATCTGGAAAGCTGTAACTTGTGTGACATACTTGGAACAATTTTGTCTTCCCCAGGGTGTCACTCTGACAGATGTGCTGGACACTACACAAAAAGCAGACATGCGTGCTTATATGTCACTTGTTAGCAATGTTTTGGCAAATGCCGAGGTAAGTTTCAGCTCTGCTTTATTTTACAACTTTTTATTGTATTTACCTACCCAAATTAATATAATTTTATACCATTTCTGGGGGGAGCCCCGTCCACTTCCCGCAGCTATCCAGGCTGATATGCTAATGTCAGACTTTGTCATCAGTCATGTGTATGGAGTTCTGTGGGCCTACCGGGGACCACGAGCCAAAACTTAGCCCCCCCCCCCCTCACATAGGCACGAAGCAATGGCCTATAGAAACCACCGTGTGGTTGGAAGCATTCTATCTGCCATCGATCGGGTTAGGCACCCAGAAAGGTAAGCATCCCAAAACAAACCCCAATTCTGTTGAAAATTGCTACAAAAAGCCAAACAAGTGGATAGAACTCCCTAAACAGAAACAACCAAACGAGTATGACATCACACGTCGTTGCGCCGCCGTCTGCACAGCTCCTCCTTTCCCGGGAGGGAGAAGGTGGAGCCCCAGACCCCCGCGCCGGCCATCCATCTCTCGGTTCTGAGGCTGATGCTGTAAGCTGCAGTCATGTGCTCTGGCTCCAGTGATTGTTTCAGGGACTGGCTCGGTTTTGTTGTGGGGCATCAGAGTTACCGCTTTTGTTGTCTTCCGCTCGGGTTGAATCTAGCGCCTCGCGTTTTCGCACGCCTACCTCGATGACTGGCTGGTCTGGGCTCCCAGCTGGTCTGCATGTCTGCTAGCCAGGAGTTTGGTTCTTTCCCAGCTCGCCGGATTTGGGTTCTTGGTGAACTGGAGGAAGTCCCATCTGGTCCCCCCTCCCAGGTTCGGACTTGGCTGGGTCTTGTTTGGGACTCTCGGACCACTTCCGTGTCTCTCCCTCCAGAGTCTCCTTCGCCTGCGGTCCCACCTTTGCTGTTTTCTGGGAGGCTCCCGGGCCACTCAGCGGTTGCTCGAGGGTCTGTGTGGGAGCCTGAACTTTGCGATGTTGGTCTGCCCGCTGGGTCGGGTTTGTCTGCATTGCCTGTTTTGGTTCCTTCATGGATGTCCCTTCTGCCTCTCATGCGATCACTGGGTTCGGCCCCCGGGGGGAAGGTGTTGAAGTGTTGCGTCGCCTGTTTCCTCTTCGGGTTTTGGGGGGTTCATTGCCATAGTGCCTACACGAGCCCTTGCTCGATGTGTTCATGGACGCGTCATCTCTCGGCTGGGGCTTTGTGACCAGTGCTCATCAGGCCGGCCAGGGACGATGGGGTCTGCCCTTTTGTCAGGCCCACAGCACGGTGCAGGAGTTCACGGCGGTTTGGTTTGTGCTTTGCAGGGTTTGGGTTGTCCGCGAATCGACGATCCGGCTCCATTCGGACTGCTCCCAGGTGGTTCATTGCCTGAACCGAGGGGGTTCGATATGGTGCCAGGCTCTTTGGTGCTGGTCGCTTCGGGTGTCTCGTTTGCTGAGTTCTCGGGGTTTGGCTCTACTGGCAGTTCACGATCCGGGGGGGTGTCTAATGTCTTGGCGGATGGCCTGTCTCGGTTTGATCCCCTGTCCACGGAATGGACGGTCGATGCCGACTCATTCAGTTGGCTCTGCCAGACGTTCGGGCGCCCAGAGGTGGACCTCTTCACGTCGGCATGGTCGCGGCGCCTCCCGATGTATTTGGCGCCCTTCCCCGACTGCAAGACCGTCGGGATCAATGCCTTTCGGCAGGACTGGTCGAGGTGGGGGTTCCTGGACCCTTTTCCCCCGGTTCAGCTGTTGCTACAGATCCTGACTCACTTGAAGACTTACCAGGGAAGAGTAGTCCTTTTGGCCCCATGGGCCAGTGCGTCACATAGCTGGTTCGGTCTTCTCCTCGAGTCTACGCGTATGGTGTTTTTGACTCAAGTCTATCATCATTTCTATGGTGATAAGGTGGCCTCGTTGTTGGTGTCCCACCTGCGGGTTTCGTCTAGGCGGCAGTATGAAGTCTCTTGGCGGTCCTTCCGCTTCTTCCTTTGGCTTTGTAGGTATACTTTGCTGTCAGTTAAGGGGGCATATTACAGAAAAATGCGATAAATGAAAAATGATTTGATTTCAATCAAACTTTTTTGACTAGTTGTATATAAACTTTGGTTCAACTGGCCCAACTCTCAGCATTAAAGCATAAATAGGAAGGGAGAAAAAGTATTGAATATGTGTAAAAAAATTTCCAAAATGGTCAGAAATTAACATCAAACAAAAGTGTCAACTGAAATCATGTCTGTGACTCTAAGCTATCACAATAGCATATAATAAAGTATTTTAATATTCAGTTTTATGCCAAAAAAAAATAAAAAAATAAATAGATTTTTTCTCAATTTTTTTTTTTTTCCATATTTTTTTATCAGCCGATTTGCATGAAACTTATACACCTTACAGAACATATGCCTATCTGTAAAGTTGCAAATTTTGGAAGAAATTGGTTGAAGTCAACTTCAACCACAGGTGGCAGTGTTTGATCTTATTTATTTTCAATTAACATAAAATTGCATCTCCTCTTTCATTTTTTTTCAATTTACATGAAATTTACACCTTGTATGTAGAGTTGATGTCTCTACAATAATGCTAAAACACTTTATTCCTAAGTTCATTTATTGATTTTATAAATCTTTGCAAACATGAAATATTAGCATATATTTTGGGGGGAACTTTGACTACTTGTATTAGTAAAATCAAACATATTTTGGGTAATCCTTTTTAGCCAAATCCTTTATTATATGCTAATATGATATATGAGTGTCATAGAAATTATGTCATTTGAAACTTGTGGTTGTAGTTAATTATTGAAAATGTGTAAAATTTGTTGTAAAAAAAAATATTTATATATCTCCCTTTCTATATAGGGTGTGATACTGAAACGTAGAACAGTTGCAGCCCTTCTTATATACAACTAGTAAGAAAAGTTTGGTTGACATTAGTTATAATACAGCTCGTTTCACCCATCTTAATTATGGTACAGGTCTTATTGCACCTATCTTAACCATTAAATGGCTGTAGCAAGGGTTTATCATTGGAGAGGGGTAACAAGGGTACCTCCCATGTGCACATAAGCAAAATATTACAAATTATACCACAGTTCTCATGCCATAGGAACCATGCACTCGGTCAAACCAAATGCGTATCAACAAAGTCGCTATTCAAGGCAAAGGTCGTAAGTCGAGTAACATGTAGTCAAAATTTTTATCATAACTCGAAAAATTTGCAAGTAGGGGCAGTTGTAAGTCGAGGTGCCACTGTACCAACATAGTGAGATAAAAAATACTGGAGCAAAAAGATGTAATTCAGTAACCCAAATGGCTCCTCCCAACATAATCCTTTTGCTGTTATTACTCTAATACATACATTATATATAAGTACTGGTATCTACATTTGTGTTCACCATAGAGAACCACTGAGCTGGTATGGTGAATGCAGACAATAACAGGTGGCCACACAGTCAGTAAACGACGCTATCTCCCTCCCTCCCTCAGCATTACTACTCCCACATAGTGCTAATTATCACAACAATCCTGCTATTATCACAATCCTGGTCATTATCATCACAGTCGAGAGTCGTCTGTAATATTGTCATTGCTAAATAATAGCAGTTACATATTTATTTTGACATTTTTTAGGCGATGCTGTGGTCACAAGCTGAACAGCAATTCTGTTAGCTCATGCTGCATGTGCCAGTCTTGGTTGCTCCAACAGTACTGTGCCTCTCCCACTGGAGAATATTGCTCACGATTTTTTTTAAAAATGGCGTCTGTTTACAAGAGCCCTGAGGAAGCTGATGTGAACCACGTGTAGCCACAGGCATTTTGAATCGTGCCTGGCACCCCTATGGCGTATATATATGCCGTGCACACCGTGGGGCATGTTACTCATGGTGTATATATACGCCATGCGCAGTTTAAGGGTTAATGACCATGATTTCCCATCACTTTGCAATTTCTCAACATTCCCGCGTACTTCTCCCATCTGTTTAGCTCCATTTAGTGTGATCTTTTAGGGTCAATCTTTTCCTTTTTTGTACCTACAAATTCTTCTGTAGTCACAGACATTACTGTATATATCTTTAGTTGTAAGACCTTCCACTAGCCCAACAATTGTATCTACTACTTATTCATTAACTGCTTCATCTAATATTTCTTTCTCTGACCACTTGTGCATACATTAGTTACATGTCCTCCTTTCACATTTCTATTCCCTGTGTAACCTCATCCATCTTTACTGGCTAAAGCTCTCTTTTTTTTTTTTTTTTTTTCCTGTAGAATTTCTTTTCCTTTAGCTTCTCAGAGTTCCTTATCCTTGCTGTTGTTGTTTTAGGGGCCGAAACTACAGAGGTGCCATATGTGCCCCGGCATACCCAAATAGGGTAAATTACAAAGCCGTACAGCTAACTGAACATTGCCTGTTAGCAGAAGCGAATGCGCCTTGTGGAGAATAAACACACATGGGCCATATGATTGGGGAGCTTCAGGGGTCCGCCAGAAAAGCAAGCACCAGCCCCACCACAGTAGATGGTTGGAACATGTTAAGTGAGAAAGCTTAGACTTTACCCAGACTTTACCTGAATTTACCCGAGGGCCACTAACACTAGTGGCCTCGACAAGGATAGGAAGCTGATGGCTTGTTGAGGGTCCCCCCCCCCATTTGCCTTGATAATCTTTTTTTCAGTTAGATTTTGAAATTCAACAGTCGAGGCATTTACTGCTTTGGCGTGTAGGCAGTTTCATTGGTTTATAACCTTGTGGATGGAAAAGCATCTCCTATTGTCAGTCCTACACTGTGGCTTGTCTAGTTTTAAACTGTTATTCCTTGTTTGTGTTATGTGTGTTGGTACCCATGTGGCCTTCAAGCGTTTCCTTAATTGACCCCACTTCCCCCCTATCGTTTCGGGGGAGGAGGGAGGTAGTTCGCAGTCAGCTGACTACGTGACCTTCAGTTCTTTGCTGATATGTGTAGTGTGTGCCTGGTCGCCTCTGCTGCTTGGGCTCCAATATATTGCTGTTCAAAATGGTGGTTTTCTCCTTCGTGTGCATTCCTGTACACAGTGCAGTGATGCATGAGCCTGGAGGTAATGAAGGCTTGGAGCAGCATATGCACAGGGTTCTCTTCCCTGTGTGCTCCCTAATGTTGCTCTTTTACACTGCCATGGTTCCCTTCCCCAGAGTGTTGGGAAGTCACTCCCTCTTTGCTTGTGGTGGCCCTGGCCCAGGGTGAGTCAGGTGTCTTGGGGCCTTCCTGTCTTCACACTGGTCAGTAGTAACATTGGCTGAGTTTTCAAATGCTACACTACATCATGCTGAAGTTGGCCTTCACAGCTGGGTGAAACAGGCTGTGTGGGCTTAGTTTGCCATTTTATATTTATGCGACACCCTTCCATTAAAGATCTGGCATTGCATCCCAGTGCTTGGATGTCCTGTTTGGTCAAGTCCTTCAGGCCCTGGTATTCCCCTGCAGGTTCGGCGGTGCCTTGGATATACCCCCTGGACCTGCTTACATTTCATGCGAGTTTGAGGGTTGCACATTGTCAGTGCCATGTAGTAATGTTAATTTCTTCTGCCTCTGCTATGCTGCCTGTTGGGTCAGGCAGCATTTGACTTTGATTTCATGTAGGGTCTGCTTCCAACATGTTGCTCTTCTTTCTGACCCTCCTGATGTGATTAGGGCTTACCAGGCAGTAATAGCTTTCCATGTTAGGTTCTCTAGGTTGCAGAAATCCTGATTCTGTACCCAATTGGAGGCCCCAGAGCTGCCCCATTTGGTGTTTAGGGACCTGAAGTTGGAGGTGATGGTACCTTCGTTCCATCTGCCCCTCCTTTTCCTTCCCCTTCAAGTGTGGTTCACCCTTATATTGATCCTTCTCCCTGCTTTCATCCCCAAAGCATCTGATGGTTTCGGCGTCGGGGCACGGTTTAGTTTGGAATATGGCTTAGCCAGCTCTGGGGTTGCCCTTTCCAATTTGGGCACAGAGGCAATTGAGCCTGCTGGTCTCAGCGAGGCTTCTAGGTCTTCCTTTCAGCCAACCCCCTTCTTCCTTTGAAGCCTTTCACTTGGACTCTGCTTTTCTATCCCAGGTAGTATCTTCAGTCATTTCTGTAAATAACCATATAATACAGTAATTCAATATAATAATAATTTAATATAATAATTGTGGCCCAAGACTTTGTATAAAATAATGAATATTAGATACAGCTGCTACATGGTCTGTGATATAATGATTCGTACAGTACTGTGATGTAATGTTTAATACAGTATTGTACTGTAATCTAATTAGTACAGTACAGTATTGATATGTTTTATACAGTACTATTATGTAATTAGTACAATACTGTGATGTATTGCAACCTTTCTTCAGTGTCAGATCTCATGTTCATCAATTACAGTACAGTATTTAATTTTTTCAGCTTTATATCTCGTGGATTGATCAAGTAACTTACGAAGAGGTAACAAAGTCACGATATGGCTCTGTGTACCCTTGGCCAATTAATCATATTTTAACACACCAGAAGCGCAGTCAAGTCTTGCGACGCTTACATGTTCTTGGATGGAAACAAAAATCATTGGAAGAGGTAAACTATCAAGGGCATCTTCAGGTGTTATTTGTAGTTATGAAAAAACTAATACAGTATTTCATAATAAAAATATTAGGTTCTTTAAATACAGTACAGTACAGTACAGTACTGTTAAATGTATATTTTTTTGAGGGGGCGGCTTTTATTTATAAAATGCCACCAATATTTTCATATTTAGTTTTTGGTTATTATTAGTTTGTTTGAATATATGCAATAAGGATGGATCCAATTATAACTATTCCACAATTTTGAATATTTCTTTCACTAATAGGTATATAATGAAGTAGAACACTGCTGCAGCGCTCTTTCTGAACGTTTGGACAAACAAGACTACTTCTTTGGTAACAGGTGAGAAAATATCCCAAGGATATTTCCTTGGTTAACATTGTTACGTAACTTTTCAACATCATCACCTAAAATAATAATTTCAATAACTCGTGTACCCCACATCCTGTACAGTGGAAAAGTAAACATTTTCATTCGTAATGTTTTTCTGGGGGGAGTCCAGTGAGCCTCCCTGAAGCTATTACTGATTTATTGCCATGCTACTAGGTGCCATTAATGGCAGAGCTCTATTGACCTACCAGGAACCATGAGCCAGAACCTGACCCCCCTCAGAGAGGTGCAGAGAGCAGCGGCAATATGAACATCTTACATTTAAAGTAATTAATGTCTGCCACCACCAAGGAAGGCATCCAGAAAGTCAGAGAAACAAAACAGACCACTACATAGTTAAAACCAAGACTGCAGCCTCAAAATTGCCAGAAGAACTTTCCCAATTATGAAAACAAGCAACCAAAATATTATGAAACATGCACGAGCTAGTTTGCCCCACCACCTCCCGTCCCTCGCCTGGAAAGAAGAGGGATGGGGACTGGGTCAGCCGGGTCAGAAGTATCCCAAGAAAAATGGATCATAATTTTTTAATACAAGATGGCATATCACACGATCTCAGAAGGAAAGGCATGTAGATGAAATACATTCTGCACCGCCAGATCATCAACCACTGGCAAACTTGGTACCATACCCATTCTGCCATTGAGAGCATATAAGCGTAGAAAGGTTGTGAGACCGACATGCATCCTAGTATGCTAAACACGTAAATCTTCTGTGGTGTCATGTATTCATATGTTCTATGTATCTTTAGTATGGTAGAGTTTGTGATGAATTATAAGCTATAAGTTTCATACATATTGTATACTTTTATGGGGAAATTTAATTTGAATGTACAGTACTGTAGTGACCAAGATATTTATTTACAGAAAATGATTAGCAGCTTTTGTAGTATGTTAAAAGTTCCTAATATTTATAATGAAGGTAAAGTAAGTTTCTACATTCAAACCTCCATGGATCGATCATTATCCAGAGACTATCCTGTAACAATGATGAATATTTTTCACATGGTAGTTAGTCAACTAGTTACTCTGTACTATTTTTAAAATTAAAATTGAATTGTTTGTTGATTTCAGACCAACTGAATTAGATGCTTTAGTGTTTGGACACGTGTTTACACTTCTCACAACCCCTCTACCAGACAACCGTCTGGCAACCATTGTCCGATCATTTGGCAACTTGGTGAAACTGTGCCAGGTAGTTGAGAAGGAGTCATTTGAGAGAAATAATGGAGGCAGCAGTAGTGGCAATGGTGAAGGAGACTATGACAAGCTGGAAGACCTGAACCAACTTCCTGGGTGATCACACAAACATTACAATCTCTCTTCAGCAGGTTCCTGTTAAACATTACCATCTATCTTTCTTCAGCAGGTCTAACATTACCATCTATATTTCTTCAGCAGGTCTAACATTACCATCTAAATTTCTTCAGCAGGTCTAACATTACCATCAATATTTCTTCAGCAGGTCAAACATTAGTATTTTTCTCTTTGATTAGTCAAACATTTCTGCCTCTGCAGGAAGTCGGCATTATCTGATGTGTAAATTACTGATAAGTTATTGAAGGATCACTATATCACTCTACATCAAACCCCGTCTCTCTCTCTCTCTCTCTCTCTTGTAAGATTATATTCATACCTACTACAGACAAAATAATTAAATAATCATTGAGTGATTAGGATATTTAATAATGCACTTCTGTATAGCATAACATAAAATACAGTATAGTATTGTATATACAGTACAATGTGTAGCCATGAATGTCATGAATGATTACAAAAGATTTTTTGACAAGAATTAAAAAAATTGAGATACGTATAATGAAACTTGTGATGTTTGTTGCCCTATAGAGAAAGAGGTTATGAAATGCATCTGAATTTCTTACATACTGTGATGTATAATGGTTATTTTTTTAATTGAAAATCAAAAGCATTTATTATATAGTCATTCATTTTGCATAAAAACAAATATTAAATGTGATCTTTCTGTTTTGTCTTTTACATGTAGGATAAGTGACTGGTGCATTTATAGGATGTATATACTGTAATCATAGATGTTTTCTCCTAATATCATGTATTCATGTTTTATTGACCTGAAGTTAGTTACTTGGTCCTGGGTTCAGTTCCAGGGCAGGGTGAAATATTTTTAATAGGATTCCTTGCACCTGATGCCTGTGTTCACCTAGCATTAAATAGGTACCTGGAAGTTATTGGAAATCTAAAACCATATTAAAAACTTTGGGTCCTGGTAGTACAGTCAGGTTTGTTCTCGACTCACAATTGAGAATTTTGGGTTCGAATCCCGCATGGGGCAGATATGGTTGGGCGAATTTCCCATCACCTAATGTGCCTGTTCACCTAGCCATAAATAGGTACCCAGGAGTTGATCAGCTTCTTGTGGGGGTTGCATCCTGGGAAGCGTCAGTAATTCGACCTTGGGGAAGACCTTGATGTAAGCATAATGTGTACATATATAAATAAACTCTGACTGCCTGTCCCCCGAAACAATAAATTATTATTATTATTACCAGTACAGGTACCTAATTATATCCAGCTTTTCACAGTATCCAATGAGCACATCATTCTTGTTGTAAATACAGTACTTTGGACAGGTACTATATTTTTTTACAATAAATTTCAGATTATACATAACCAGTATTGTATATTGTGTTTTAATAACAAATATTAAAGAAAATATATAATTTTGTAAAAAAAGGGGTGGGGAACAGCTATTGTTCTTGAGAAAGGAACTTAATTTTTTTTTATACACATTAAGCCGTTATTTATCTATTTTTTATCTTGGTTATCTTTTTTCACACAATACCAAACACCACCACCACTTGTGGTTGTCTTTGCCCTTTGGGTAGGTCGGGAGTCTTGGGCTTTCTGTCTTGCCCCGGGTAGGGGAGTGTTTATTGGCTGGTGGGGCGCTAAGCGGCTGGCACAGCCAGCTTAAACTATCACGCGGCAGCCAACATTTCTCTTCGACTGCTTGTTGGCTGTTGTGAGGTTTTGGGGTTTTTATTTTTGTTTCAACCTGTTCTCGCACTTTCCCACAGTCAGTATTGACTTATTAAATAAGTGCATATGTGACATACTAATTTATTGTGAATATTTTAGTTTACCTTGAAAAGCTTCATAGAAAACACTGACCTTACCTAACCTTCTTAGTATTTTAAGATAAACATCTTATTGCCGGGTTGGAAAAGTAATAAACACCATGCCTATTACAATGACCCAAAACTTGCGTACTTTGAAACGCACTGCCAGAAGAGTTGGACTTGCATATAGGGAAACACATACCCCAGCAATGCTAAAGCTCTTTCAGAAAGCCCTAGCCAAGGCGAGTGAGCACATGGCAGAGCTCAGGCAAGATAACTGGGAAACTTTTGTTAAGTCTCAACTCTCACACCCCCCTCAGCCAGGCATGGATGGATATTAAAAGAATTAAAGCGATAAGATCGGCCAAGTATCACACCCTCACCCTCTATACAGAGCAAAGGAGTTAGTCGATGCTTGGGCTACCACCTCTAGCTTCAATAATCTTCCTCTAGACACACAATTCAGATTATGAGCTACGTTACTGGGGAACTTCCTATCTCTTGGACCAACAGAATAATCATTCCAATTCTCAAGCCAAATCAAGAGAATGCTTTCCACCCAATTTCCCTTATTAGCTGCATTTGCAAAACATTCGAGAGAATGGTCCTAAACCGACTCCTCCATAGAGTAAGAACCATGCTATCCCCCCAGATATATGGCTTCATGCATGGAAGGAGTGTGCATCATTGCATCACCACCTTTTTTTACCCTGCACACAAGTCATATACCACCTTCCTAGATCTTGAGTCTGCCTTTGATATTGCAAATCGACATGTTATCATGAGTGAACTTGCAAGAGTGAATATTGGTGGTCGGCTTCTTTGTTGGATCAGAGGTTACTTATCCAGCAAGAAGTCGTCTGTATTTTTCCAGGGGCATACGAGTATAACAAGAGACTTTGAACTAGGTACCCTGCAGGGAGGTGTCCTCAGTCCTATCTTATTAAATATCTTAATAAACACGCTGTTAAACTCTGTACCCAGCAAACCCAACGTCCACATCATTGGCTATGCTGATGATATAATGATTCACACCACTGGGTATGCTAACACGCAGAATACTCTTAACTGTATTAGACTCATGTCAGGACCTAGGTTTAGTCATCTCAGCAGAGAAAACAAAGATACTAAATCGGCGCCCACCCAGGCAGGGAGGAACTGTTTGTAAGATGCAACTGTCTGATGGCTCACAGCTTGACAATGTAAGCAGATTCAAATACCTTGGCCTTGAGGTGCCAGTGTATGGTTCTGTTGTAACCAGACTCTGTCCTCAGTATAAAGAGAGGCTCCGAGCTCTCAAGACTTGTCCTTACGGGCTCACCATAGCCCGTGCTACATGGACACTTCGTCCTGAGTAGCTAAAGCTTTAACAACAACAACTCTCAAGACACTCATTCAGCACCGCTCCTGTGCCAGGTAAGTCCACTACGGGCTCACCATAACCCGTGCTACTTGGAACTTGTTCCGAGTAGCTGAATCTATAACAACAACTCTCAAGGCCCCACCGCTCCTGTGACAGGTAAGTCCACCACGGGCTCACCATAGCCCGTGCTACTTGCCCCGCTCCTGTGCCAGGTAAGTTACAGGCTCACCGTAGCCCGTGCTACTTGGAACTTTAGTTCCCAGTAGCTGAATCTTAAACAACAACAACTCTCAAGGCTTTACGGGCTATTCATGCCCGTGCCACCTCTTGGGTGGCTTAATCTTAATCAATCAATCATCTCAAGGCTGTTGCAGGGTATCACTCAGGCTATGGTGCCAATGTCAGAATTGTCAAAATGATGTACCTTGCATACATCAGATCTTTAGTGGATTATGCTGCACCTCTGCTTGTTTTGATGCCTGAAAGAAAGCTTGGAGGCTTGAAAAATTGCAGAACGAAGCCTTGAGGATAATCCTTGGGTGCCCTCGTACCACAAAGATACTTAACATAAGAAAGGAACTTAATATTCCGAGCGTTGTTGATCGTGTTAATGAAATTAACTGTCAAATTGGTATAAAAATGCTTAGGCTAACTCATCCTAACCCTTGCACAGAAGCCCTCCAGAATTTCTTTATTGAAGGTCAGTATACTTTGAGGTTACCTTGAGGTGCTTCCGGGGCTTAGCGTCCCCGCGGTCCGGTCGTCGACCAGGCCTCCTGGTTGCCGGACTGATCAACCAGGCTGTTGGACGCGGCTGCTCGCAGCCTGACGTATGAGTCACAGCCTGGTTGATCAGGTATCCTTTGGAGGTGCTTATCCAGTTCTCTCTTGAACACTGTGAGGGGTCGGCCAGTTATGCCCCTTATGTGTAGTGGAAGCGTGTTGAACAGTCTCGGACCTCTGATGTCGATAGAATTCTCTCTCAGAGTACCAGTTGCACCTCTGTTTTTCAACGGGGGTATTCTGCACATCCTGCCATGTCCTCTGGTCTCATGTGATGTTATTTCTGTGTGCAGGTTTGGGACCAGCCCCTCTAATATTTTCCACGTGTAAATTATTATGTACCTCCCGCCTGCGCTCAAGGGAGTACAGTTTTAGGCTCTTTAGTCGGTCCCAATAGTTTAGATGTTTTACTGAGTGGATTCTAGCAGTAAAGGATCTCTGCACGCTCTCCAGGTCAGTAATTTCTCCAGCTTTGAAAGGTGCTGTCATTGTGCAGCAGTACTCTACTCTAGAGAGCACAAGCGTTTTGAAAAGTGTCATCATCGGTATAGCATCTCTAGTGTGAAAAGTTCTTGTTATCCAACCTGTCATTTTTCTTGCAGTTGTGACGGCTACTTTATTGTGTTCTTTAAAGGTAAGGTCTTCCGACATGAGTACACCCAGATCCTTTACATTGCCTTTTCGTTCTATGTTATGATTTGTCTGAGTTTTGTACGTGGTTTCCGTTTTTATATTGTTCCAAATGGAGAATTAAAACTAGAACTCAACTCAAAGTGTATCAGGTTTATAATTTGTACAAAGAGAAACAACAACGGCACTTTCCTGCACCGTGGGAGATTACACCCTTTCCAATTTTAATCCCTCCCTTTCCACCCAAGAAGCAAATTAGAGATCAGCCCAAGCTTCGTCTTGAGGCAAAGTTCAACGCCTTAAGCCATATTGATACTCTGTCCACAGAGCATTTGTTGTTGTTGTTTTAGATTCAGCTACTTAGAACAAAAGTTCCAAGGTAGCACGGGCTATTGTGAGCCAATCCTCCTTTCGTCACTGAACCCAATCTCGAGGGACTGACGGTTCTTAAGGCAGCAACGTTTATGGGCCGTATACTCGCAACGCACCCCTGGGGGGCCCTGGCAAGATAGGCAATAAGTCTCTTGTTGGGTGTCCTGCCTCTAATTGTGGCTCCGTGGTGGGTATGGGGGCACATTCGTGAACGAAAGTCTTACCTTTCGTTTTCATGTCGATAAATACCATTCCTCTTATGATGTCTCAGGCTCGTGGGGTGGGCGACCAAGCCCCTGAGTCGGACTGTGTTGGAAGACCGGGCTCTGTAGCCCCCGCTACATTGGGCCCAGACCTAGCTCCTCCTTTGACCCTCCTGACTACTTCCCCCAGCTCCCCTCCCTCCTCTGTGGTTGGATCGAGCCATACGCCCCCAGCGGTGACCGCCTCGTCCCCTAGTGCGGCTCAGTCTCTCATTGTGACTACTGCACCTTTTAACCCCTCTCTCTCTATGGGTTCTCAACACCGTTCCCGCCATAGCCATACTCGCACAATCCCTTCTCATACTAATACGTACCAAGCCTTGTTTGGTCCTGCTTCGTGGGCTAAATACTTTGATCTCCTCCCTCTGAATTCTACACCTGACAATTTCTCACTCCATAAACACCTTGTTGATTCAGTGGATGCCTCTGTTACTTTTAACCCCACCCGTTTAAGTACACGTGTCGTTACTGCTCCTTCACCAGATGCAGCTACTCGTTTAGCTGCATTGTCCTGCATTGGGAAGACCCCTGTTCGGGACTCCAAAAATGCTCGGTTAAATGCCAGTGTTGGCACTGTTCTCCTCCTGCACCATGTTGCAACTGGTGTTAGGGACCTAAAAGACTGCCATGAGGATATTAAACATATCCTCAAAGCCCAAGGCCATCCTGTCCTCCAGGTAGACACGTTCACTCGACCCCCTCGTGGTCGTCGCCATCAGCCCCTTCGATTTGTGAAAATCACCTTTGATAGTAGGACCCTTCCGCCCTCAATAATTCTTGTTGGTGCCAGATGCTCCGTTCAGGAGTACATTCCCTCTCCTAGACTTTGCAAAAAGTGCTGGAAGTTCTGGCATGGTGTCTTCAAATGCTCAAGTACTGTGTATCTATGCCCCATGTGTGGGCCGATGATCACTCTAAATCCAATTGCACTTCTTCCCAGGCTCGCTGTCTCAATTGCGGTGAGGCCCACCCTACCTTCTGCTGCTCGTGTATACACTACAAACTTGAGGAAGCCGTCCTCAACCTGAAACACCCGGATCGTCTGCCTTTTCCTGAAGCGAGACGCCAAGTTCGCCATCTCACCCCTTTTGCTGGCATATATCTACGCTCGCGTGTTGCGTTCTACCGACAGAGTATCATCTATTGATACT